CTTCCTTGCGAACATGTTCCAATCCATTACCATCCCACACCTTTTTAGTTCCATTTTCTAGTTATGTGTGTATGACTCGTTATTTTTAGACAAGAAAAAAATTTTCAATGCAGACTTCTGTGTTTTATACCCACAATCGATGTATTATTACAGAGAAATTCCTCATGCTATTCCAATCCATTACCCTCTCTTCCATTATTAGTTCCATTTTCTAGTTTTGTGTGTATGATTCGTTATTTTTAAACTAGAAAAATTTTAATGTGAAAATTTCTGTTTCTGAAAAGCGATGAGAATAATATCGGTAAAAGTAAAACATTGGTTTCTCACATCAATTTCGCTTTGATTTGCAATTTGCAGTTTCACTTTGTTCTCTATTTGAAAGGATTTTCTTTTTTTTTATTCAGTTCGAGTTATGCCGAAACGAAAAGTTTTCTTAAAAAAATTCCTAAAAGTTCAGAAGCTTATAAATTATACACCATCTCACCTCCAAAAAAAACATTTTCCGCTCCTTTTACTGCTTCGCAAGGTTTCGAATGTTATAAAACACCTCTCAATATTACAAAATCAGAAACATTTTTCAGTTTCACTGCTTCCTGAAATCATGAACTTATCTTCAAAAATATTCTTTCCATTATTTACACTCTCAAACAAATCTAGCCAGTTTGACCGAATTTTCTAAATCCTAAGTTTTTTAATATATATGTCTTAAATACTATTCTAGAATTTTCAGATAAAATTTTTAATTTGGTTTTTTTTGGAAATGTGGAAAATCAAATATTGAAAATCCTTAAATCTATTCCTCCGTTTTTTCCAATTTTTTCCACTCTCATTTTTTTGTCACGAAACCTGCTATACCGAATCATTTATGCATAAACCTCAGGTTCCGTGCATGACACTTTTTCTTCCTTCTCCTTTTTCCCAAACCCCTGATTTCCTCCTTTTTCTATGATCCAAGGTCCAAATTTGGGTTTTCATGACGAATTTTTTTTTCGGGAATATTCAGGGGAGGGGTATCAGAAAACGAAAAAAGAAAAAAAATCGTATGAAAGATGAGAAGGGGGAAGACCTAACTCGATTTTTTTCTTTGCCGCTTGCCTCGCGTTTTGAGCCGTTTTGAGTCATGATGTACTCCTTTTTCCACGGATATCCAGACAGATGAGATTTTTTTTGGGATTATATCTACATGAACACATTTTTTGACTTATTTTTGATCACTGAGATGTTTGAGTTTTTTTTTGACAAGAAGGTTTTGGCTTACATTGTCTGTTTCTGAAATGTGTTTTGTTGTGTTACTTGGGAATTGATTGTTGAGTCTTAATTTTTTTTGCATAAAGTTAATGTCATCCCAAATTAGTTGCAAATAGTATAGTTGACTAGCGCAAAAAGCTGAAAATCAACTCAAAAACATAGTTATATATATATTTTATGAACCAGCACTGTATATACCGTAAACACTCTAATAGAACGCCACCTGGACCGTCCAATTTGAGCTAATTATCTCACTTCTTCTGAAAGATATCAAAAAGTTGTTAACTCATAACATGTTTATCAGGATATCAGCAACATTTTATTAGTTAGCCACTTTTTAATATCTTTCCCAGAAAATGAGATACATGGGCTCAAATTTGACGATTCGGGTGGCGCTCTATTAGAGTGTTTACGGTAAATGCTCCTTACTGAAAATCGAACTTCTTCATGAACTCAAACAGACTTATTCATTTTCTATTGTGGACCCAAAAGTTCTCCCATTTTCACACCCTCCCATCTGTGAGGACAAAAAGTTTGTCCGGAAATTGAAGCGTGGTTGGAGAATGGAAAATTGAAAGTTGGGGGAGCTCACACTTCATTAAACCCCCCCCCCCTCTCTCTCTCTCTCTCTCTCTCTCTCTCTCTCAATAATACTAAAAATTGAGTTAGCTAGCGTGTGGCGCTTCTCATTTTATCCTCCCCCACCATATTACCCATGTTTAGAGATCCTGAATGAGAAAGAATACATTTTTGACGCCTCACTTGTCATTTTTTGTGTGTTACTATTAGTTAGGAATGATGTATTTGTGAAAATAAACGTAAACGGGAGCAAAGGAAGTTGAAAAGAATAAAGTATGGGAGAACTGAAAAAAAACAATGAGAGAAAAAAATTGAGTATAGACCAAGAGATTTCGTGAACCCATATGATTCAAAAAATATGGAGTCAAATGGAACCGGCAATTTTTACGCTCAAAGCAGGAAAATCCCCAAGATTCATATCTTGGAATTTCATATTAATTTTCAACTTCAAAAATTTAGAAATTCAATTTTTTTGCTTTCATTGTTCCAAATGTTTCTTTTCTCTCCCCAAAAATCCAACCCTTTCAAAAAGTCTCCATCTGATATTATTTTTTTCTAATCTAGTGTGACCACTTTTTTTGTTAAAAAAACCCATTGTTTCATTCTGTCTGGAAACTTGGTTCCACTTGGAAACTTGATTGGATAGAGTTTTGGGAACTTGAGCAAGAATATTAGTGATAAAAATTACATTTTCAAAAACTCTAGATTTTCCGAAGATTTTGGATTTGATCAATCGTCAACATATTTTTTGGAATCAAATTCAAACGCATTGATAATTTTATTTCAATTCTACAAGTGCATTTTGAATCAATATTTCAAATGGAATCATTTTAGAGGCACTAAGTTCATACCACCAACAAAATTATCAGAAATCATCCAAAAAACTCAATTCCGAAACAGTTAACTTTTTGGTTCTTCCCTTCTTTATTTTCTTTTTCCAAAGTTATTACCTTTGGTCCTTGAACTTTTCTTCCTTACTCTCTATATCATTTTTTATTGTTTTGGTGCTATTTTTTGTCCAAGACCTCCGTAAACTTTATATAGACCTTTATATAGACCCTCCCTGTTTTATGATCTTACTATAGGTCTTTGAACCAGAAGACGTTACTTTTTTTTCAAGCGAATTCACTAGGTTCGCACTGTAGCTTTCGAGCTTTAAGGAGTGTTTACATCTTAATCAGAGCATGTGTTCTCGAGGAAGTAAGCAGTTTCGCTTCTTTTGTTTTTTGCTTGAAGTTTTGACAAGTTCCAAATCAGGTACATATTTCAAGAATCATCAAGAAACAGGAAATTTTCAGATTCAATTCTTTAAACTCTCCTAGTCCCAATTTATGCTGTAAAATTATTAGGTTGAGCGAAAAGTCTTCGTAATTTTTTTTGGACCGTCATATCTCAGCTTTGATTTAACTTTTTATCATTCTGTTTTTCCTATATTGTAGTACCAGCTGTGCATTCTTAAAAGATTTGTTAAAGTTACCGACGGCGTTCATAAAGACCGAGAATTCGCCCAGAGACCACCATGCTCTCAGGAGTGTTTTTTGTTCGGGTTTCTCCAAGGTCACAAATGCAGTGTAGCTTGTCGTAAATTGTGTACAGTGCTAGACCACAACTATATGTCCTACACTACAATAAAGTTTTGGTTCAAAAGATTCTCCGAAGAGATCTACGATCTCGAAGTCTGGCCTACCATGTGTTGATCTCAACGGGGATACCTCTAGAGCGCTAGAAGAAGAACCAAGAGCAACGTCCCGCGAGCTTGCAGCAAGTTTCAATCATCCTCACAGAACCATAATTGATCATCTTCACGAATCTGGATACCAAAGTTTGGTCAACTCGCCCCTCCCGTTTTGACGGATTCACTAAAACCATTGCGTTGCGACTTGGCACATTCTCGGCTTACTATGAAACGTAGCACCAATTGGGTTGAGAATATTATCACTGGGGAAGAGTAGAAAAAAACAAAGGGTCCCGACCGAGGAAACCGCTAAAACGGGCATCAAAGGAGAACTTCACGAGAAAAAGTTATATTTTCCATTTGGTGGGGCAGTGAAAGCGTTATCTTCAGAAGACTTCTTTTAGACGGCATCACTATCAATGAGGACCTCAACAGCACTCAAACGGAAATAGCATTCCAGGCTTATCGATTAAATTGCCCGAAAAATTCCAGCTTGTTGATTATTCATGACAACGCAAGACCACCCACTACTTTGAAGACCCGTCAGAAGCTCCAGATGCTCGAAGTCAAGATCTTCTGTCATCCATCGTATTCACCAGACCTGGCCCTAACTGAATAGCAAATAATCCGTTCCTTGTACACTGTTGGTGAATATATCACACATTGAATTCCGTGTTCTTTGAATAAATTTTGTCTCGAAAAAATTCAAAAAATTACAAAGACTTTTCGCTCAACCTAATATAAAATTGGGTTCGAGTACCTCCATTCTAAAGCCTCAAACATAAAAAATATTTCTGTGTTCTGATTTCTCCTCTTTTCAAAAATATTCCTTGATTTTTGCTCATCTCCCTGTTTTGTACCCTAAGGCTCTTTGGATTTTCTCATTTCGTTCCAGTTCAAAAAAGCGGACAAGAAAATTGAAAAAATCATAGATTCCCCTCAATTTCCATTCCTATCTTTTTCCCTAGAAGTGTCTAGGACATATATTTCCTTCATACTTCTTTTTCTTTCTTTTTTCCAAAGTTCATTTTTACAAAAAAACATTTCTAGAAAGAAAAATGGATGCAATTTTTTTCCTAGAATAAAAAAACTTTTTTCCTAGAGTAAAAAGTGGAACTTTTCCAGCTGGAAATCGAGAAAAAAGAATTTTGTGCTTTGAAATTTTATGTTTACGGTGGAAACGTATAAAACAGAGAAAATATTAGTATTTTAAAAATAATTGTTCTGTTTCATTTTTTTTTTAAATCAGTTTAGGAATTATAAATTTAATCAAATCTTTGTTGGAGAGGGTCACCCAAAGTTTTCCAATTTTCAGGAACTTTCTGTCACTTTCACAGCTTTTCCGAAATTCCCTAAATTTACCCTCCCTCTTCTTCTGATGACGTCAAAACCATCTATTCTTTCCTTATCTCTTTTTCCTGCACATTCCACTTTTATTACCTTGTTTTTTTCGTTCAGCCATTTTCCCTATTTCCCTTATCCTCTATTTTTCAGATAGATGAATACCTCATTTTCATCTCCAACCACGTCCACCATCCCTTCTGTTACTCCATCACCAAACGAGGATGATTCTTCTAGAACTACGCTGAAATTGGTCTTGGCCATTTCATATTTGGTTCTTTTTGTCATTGGAACTGTGGGAAATGGGTGAGAACTGTTTGGCAGTAGGTCATTAAAATAAGACACTTTGAATTTTTCAAACGAACATTTCGAAACAGTGAAACTAAACATACCATATTAACTCTAATAGAAGCCCACCTAAACCGTCAATTTTGAGTTCATCTATCTAGGTTCTTTTAAAAGATATCAAAAAATTATCAATTGATAAATTGATAATCACCAATGTTTTATCAGTTAACAATTTTTTTCGATATCTGTCACAGGAATCCGGATAATTAAGTTTAAAGTTTCTTGTTTGGGTGGGATTCTGTTAGAGGAATGACGGTTATTCAACATTTTCAAATTGAAATTCAATGTTTCACCTAGATCTCTTGTTTCACTTGTTTTTATTAAGTAGTGTTTCGTCTGCGGTTACCCGTTCTTATGAGTTGTGAATCATTCAAAAAAAACCGTATCTCAGTTCCTGTTTAAAATTTGAAAAAGTTGCTAACTGATAATTTTTTATTATAAAATTAAAAACATTTTATCAGTTGACAATTGTTTGATATCTTTCACATTAATCGAGATAATTGAGCTTGAAATTGGCGGTTGGGGTTCTATTAGAGGTAATTCAAGGTTTTCAATTTAAAAAAAAATCAATGTTTCCCGTAGATCCTTTATTTATCGTGTTTTTATGAAATAGTATTTGAACTGTAGTTGCCTTTTCTTATGAGTACCATTAAAAAAACCAATTTTTTTCATAAAAAAAATTTAAAAATGAAACTTTTTCAGTACCGTAATCCTGATGATCATCAACATTTTGACATCAATGAAACGGAACATGCAGGCTGGAAAACGGAAAGTGATGAGCAATACCAATCATGTCTTTATTTATGTTCTGGGTAAGTCACCATTTTTGGAAGTTTATAAAAAAATTATTTCTGATTGAAAATATCATAGCATAAAATTTATTGGAAGAATTTTTAAGGCAACTATCTGATGCAGAACATTTTTTTGCTCAAAAAATTTTCTCTGTTTGAAAATGTTTAGATTTGAAGTGTAATTTTAGCCGTTCATTCGTTCATTGGCTTTCTTTGTCATCTTAAAAACCCAGTTTCAAAAATTTCTCACTGCTCCAAGAATCAACAATTCCAAAACATTCTATTTTTGAAACAAAACTAAAATTTCAGCTTCTTGATCTGTCCCTTTTCAGGCCTCTCAATCGTTGATCTCTTGGTTATCCTACACCTTCCGTTCTTAGTCGTGGATCTTTTGAAAGGTAAAATTCGTCCCGCGAAATTCAATTTTCCATGATTTTTTATCCAAAACCTCGTTTTCAGGACAATGGCTGTTTGGTGTGGCAATGTGTAAAGTGTACTGGTTTGGGGAGAGTGTCAATAAGCTATTAAGCTCATTTTTGATGACTGTGCTCAGTTGGGATCGCTATATGGCAGTGTGTAGTCCGGTGAAGTCGATGAAGTGAGTAAGGGAATAACGGAACGATGAGAAATCCGGAATTCAATGATTCAACAATAACTATGTAAAACTCTGAAAAAATAAAAATACTTTGAAACCGAAATTGATTGTTTTGAGATCCGAAATTTTTCTGTTTCCGATTACAAATATTCAACAGACTAAATGAAAATATATAGTGAAAAATTGAAATATTACAACCATTCTTGAACCATTTTTTATAAACCTGAGTGTGAAATTCACTAACCTTCTAAAAATCACAAGTAAAACTTTTAATGTCTCGAAGTCCAGTCCAAAGAATTCCAAATACTTATATTAATAATTGGTGAATATGGCTACTTACAGAATGCGAAGCAATGCAACAGCTATGAAAGTTTTGTTGGCGTGCACCTTGTTCGCTACAGTACTACTCTTACCCGTGCTCATCGAAGCAGCAGTTCTGAAAATCGATAAAATGCACATGGTTCCGTTATTGGAAGGAAGTGATGAGTTGGCAGCGTCAGGTAAAATAGAGCTCAATGAAACTAAAATGATATGATGCACCAAAACGAATCAATTAAACGATAATTCATAACATTAGATATCAGAAATCAGAAACAGAAAAATTGTTTTAATCAGAAGAAAATTTTCCAGACCTCGCTGGAACTACCATATCCAAGTGTATCTTTGATGCAGACGCCACTTTCACCTTGTACACTTTTGTTATTGGGTTTGCTGCTCCTGCGTTCCTGATTATCATTTTCTATGCGCAGGTAAGTCTAGTTAGGTCTGAAACATACAGGGATTCAAAATAGTCAACTTTGCGCAATTTTAATTTTAGGATATAAAAACGTGTAACCTAATAGCAACACCCTACCTATTTTCTGAATTATAAAACTCATGGAACTGAGATTTATTGTTTCTCCAAGTTTTAGGTCATCTATGCTCTTCAAAAGTCTTCCCGTAATATTCGAGGCGCCAGAGGAATCAGCAAACCAGATGGAACCTCAAACAGGGTTAAGAAAATGAGTTTTCCTTCTTGGGAACATTTTAAATACTGTAAAACCTGTAATAGAAGGGCCTTCATACGTCAAGTTTGAGCTCAATTATCTAGATTCTTATACGAGAAATCAAAAATGTGCTGACTGACAAAGCACTTCTGATAACATGATAAAAATTTTACCAGTTGACACAAGTTTGATATCTTGCGCAGGAGCCAAAAAAACCCAAACTAGCCCAAACTTGACGATGCGGGGGCCCTTCTATTACATGTTTTACGTTATTTTTCACCTTATGATATTCCAGGTCACCAAGCGGATCGTCGCTGTAATTTTGTTCTATTTCCTCTGCTGGACACCCCAATGGACCCTGAACATCATGTCTCAGTTTAATCTGATTGCTGTGTCATGGATGACTCCAGCACTATCAGCAATGTTCTTTGTAGCGCATTTATTGGTGAGTTATAAATTAAAAAGTTAAGAACTCTTTCGAAATGCTTATGAATATGGTAGAATAGTGAATTAAAGGTGGGGGGACATGAAAAATAATGTTCTCGAAATTTCGTTTAAATATGCCTCTCGAGGAGTTGAACGTGTGGGACGAGGATTGAGGGTGCGGCGCCGCTACCGACTGAGCTACACGGGCAAAGAGAAAGCGGTCACCCGATCGCATACATAAAGGCGAGGACGACAGCTGTACGCAGAGTGACATTAAGCGTTGTACACCGTCACGGTAGAATGCATACTCTGACCCCAAAAATCCCCCGTAAAATCTCCTGTCCCCCACCTTTAAATTTAAATTTTCCAATCATATTGTTAGTTACACCAACGTGATAAAAATCTGTCAGTTTTGAAACAGAAAAGTACAGTAAACCGAATAGTCAATGATTCCAGGTATGTTTCAATTCTGCCGCCAATCCTGTGCTCTACGCCTACATTAACCGAGAGCTTCGTACTCAACACGTCAGGCAATGCATCGAAAACGCCATTCAGTCTGTCAACAAGAGCATCAGAATAGGCTGACGCAGAATAGGTCAGTATTAACATGTTAAACGACCCAGCCAGTGCTGAAAGCCATTTTTTCTTTCACAAATCATGAAAATTCCGAAAGACCTTTCTATTAGAGAGAGGTTCTTATTTCCAAACAGGCCTTCTAATACAGGTTTTACGGTAGTTTTGCATTACCAATAACTTTTAGTTAATTTCTCGAACAATTCACAGAAATTGTTTTTTTATATTTCACCCAATCATGAAACACTGATTCATTTATATTTTCCATAAGCCTAATTTTCAGACTTTCCATGCAATCCCGCCCATCCGACGCTTCAGCTACAGTATTCTCCAAATTTGAGAGTGGCGAAGGTGGGATTTTGAATAGGTGAGTTTTAAAATTCGAGAAAAAGGTGATGTTTTTCTAATTTTTAGACTGTCCAATTTCCAACACAACATCCTTGCAAGCATATTTCATCGAAAACGGATGCCATTGGTTGTGGACAAAAATATAAATGTAAGGTTGACAAATACTCAGCCCATTATTGAAAATACACAGTCCGAACAAATTTGATAATTACATAAAACAGTATTTTTTTCCAGATTGAAAATACGTCATCATCAACTGACGAGGATAAGGATGATTACTTGTGAAACAAATATATTGATTTCTTAATAAAAATTATGTTCGTGTTTTGAAAAGCTTTCAATTTTAATATTTCTGGAAGACTTGTTTCTGATTAAATTTTTCAGTTTCACGTGCTACACAAAATCTTTGTAATTTAAATAGAATTCTTCAAATATCGACATAGCAATTTTATTCAAAATGTAGAATTAACAAGCTGAATAGAAGTTGTGTTCCGGGTAACAGTAGTTGTGCGGACAATGACAATTTCTCCAGGTGCTGGAGGTTCTGGAAAATTCTAGATTATTGAAGGAAATCCTCTGATGAAGACATCATGTCGTTAGTAACATCAAAATAAATTTTGTAGTTCTTTCTACAAAGATCCGAAACCGCGAATTTTTGAAAAAGCAACTTTGAAAATTTCAGATTTTTTATATTTCAAATATCTGTAGAAAAGCTGAAACTCACGAATTTGATAGTAGTTTGAAGCTTGACTCTCACTTGAAGAACTTGGGGAAATTGAGCTGGAATTGATGGATTCTGGATATCCAGAATGGACCAGATAGCTTGGAGTAGGGGAGGTTACCTGGAAAAATGTTTTTGAAGGCGAATTTCTGATTAGAAATTTCAAAAAAAAGTTGTTGCTGAAAAGTGGTATGCGGTATTGTATAAAAATATTTGATAATGATTTTTGGTTATCAATAGGATTACGGTATATAATTTCAAGGAAAACCCAAAAACTAGGAATTTTAATATAAAATTTTTCCAGATTCACTGTTTCCAGAAATACATATTTTTTGCTCATTTTTTAATTTCCCATTCAGTAAATTCCCTACATACCAAACATAATTAAACATTTCAATAATAAAGTGGTGAGTAAAATTTTTGCTAATGTAGTCCTAAAAAACATGATTGATTTTTGGGTTGGACATTTTTTTTAAGATTCTGATTTTAGCCGTTTTTCTCTGAAATCTTTAGTTTTTTTTCCTGAAAGACTCAAAAATGGGGTCAAAGTAGTTATTCGAAATAAAAATATCTCTTCACTTCATTAAAAAACTTGATTAAAAAACTTACAATATACTGTGGACTCATATAATTGTTTCCGTACATTCCAAAGTATGGCGCCTCTCTTTCCATTTTTTGTTCGGCTCAAATTTGAATTCTTGCGCTGAAAAAGTCAATTTTTTAGAATAGTTTTGAAAATTGCGATGGTAAAAGAGTTCAAAAAATTCAAGATTACTAATTCGCTAACTAAAAACTAAAAATAAAATTATTGAAACAGTGAAAACCTTTTGAAAAGAGTAGAAAAGTGAAAAGTGGTTTGTATGATACTGAAAAAAGTGGAAAAAAGGAGTCTGTGTCAACAAAGAAAATGGAGAAGATAGGGAGGTAAATATAAAAAGGGGAAAGGGGAGCAAAAAACTGAAAGACAAACATTCAAAAAAAAAGAAACATCATAACATCTATGGGAAGCTCCGCCCCTTTTTCATATTTTAGGACCTTTATACGTCGTTAATAAGCATGTCAAAGAATAAGGGGTCCATACAGCTGAAACGTGAATAAATTAATTGTAAGAATGTGACAAGGTGAAGCAAAATATACAATGGTATTGTCAAAAAGCGACTTCCGTTTCTACGAAGAACGGACCACGATGACTATGTGTGATAGAAAGAAAACTTTTAAAGTTTTCTGCATTTCCTTTTTCCTTCCCTCTTTTTAATTGGACTAATTAAAATCCTTTTAATCCAATTAATTTAAAGTAGGCCCATAAAGTTTGAAACTTTCAATTCATCTTTTTTTTCTCTCCCTATCCCTTCCTTTTTGCATTCTTGAAAGTCAAATGCGAGTGAGTGTGTATAGGAGTAGAGAAACGCAGAGAAAAATGGGAAATCGCCAGCTGTCTCACACCAAAAGGTCCTTTCTCTTTTCCTATGCACTAACACAACTTCTCGTCATGTAGGCTTTTTGACTTTTTTTTCCGTGAAAATGCATTTTCACACCTTCTCTTTCTCTTCTTTAGAATTTTCACCATTTTTTGTGAGGCATGTAAGAAAAAAGCTCTTTTCAGAAGTGAAAAGGATAGGTATCGAGTAACAACTTTTTTTTGTGTAAAAGTTGGAAATTTTTTGAAAGTTGGGAATTTTCATTTTCCATTGTGTTGATCTTTTTTAACTTCTAAATTAAAATTAGAAAATCAGATTTTTTCTGAAACTAAAAAAGTTGTGCTATAAGTTTTTTTCTGTTTCGCAAAGTTTTCGTAGTGCCACTCAAAATGATAAGCTCGTTTGTTGAGAATACCAGGGTTTTTTTTATAAATTGAAAATTTTTATTTTCAAGTTGAGCACTTTTTGACTGTTTCAGGCAATTGTGATTTGCGAGCCTTCTATTGTAATAAGGTTCCTGTCCATATTTGAAGATCCATTGAAACGAAATCGCTTAATTTTCTAACTCCCCAGATAAACTTTTTTCAAAGTTTATGATATTGCCAGATAGTCGGCTCATTTTATTCGTTCTAATCTTACAATTCGAATTCTCATTTAAATCCGAAAGTTTCATTTTCAAGTTGAAAATTTTTTGACTGTTCCAGGCAATTGTAACATACCAGCCGTTTTTAAATAGTGGTTCTGCCTAATTTTAGCGTTTCATCTAATTCAAAACACTTAATTTTTGAACATCCCGAAGAAATTCTTTACGAATAATATACTTTCTTTGTCATCTTTTTCAAACCCTCTCTAGTTTTTCTTTCCCACTTAATTGTTCATTTTATTTCCTAGCAGCCATGAGAATTCTCCAATAGCAACGATGGGAGAGTGCCTCTAATAAAACATGCTCTTCTCCAGAATTTCTTATTTTACGTTTTTTTTTCTGAACAATTTCTTCTTGCCTTAATCCTCGATTTTCCGATGCAGGGATTGTTGTGAAGACCAAGTGGGGTTAAGGGTTCTTCTTCTTTTTTGATTGCCATTTTTCGAATAGCCACTGAAGCAATGAAATTTTTATTAAATTTGAAAATAAAGTTTTTGAGAGCTACAGTAATTTTTCTAATCGTATTTTGCTTAAAATCTGTAGATCGCTAATCTTCATTGAGTTCATTTTGGTCCTCTTAACAAAATTGGTAAGAAATTACGAAAATTCCCAAGAGAATGGATTCTTGTTATTTGAACAAGACAGAAGAAGGTCCACCTCTAAAAGTAACAGTGTTTTCATTTTTTGAGCTTTAAAATTGGTAGATTTGAATATTTCGCAAGTATTTAGTTTAAAATAACCTTTCTAATTTTAAACTTTTTCCAGTTTCGTAGAGTTTTCAAAAGTTCTGCTTCACATCATTCAACAATTGTATCAGTTCAAGATTCTTTGGAGAAAAATGTGGATATTGTGAAAAAATATTATACTTTAAGTCGCTATTAATCGTTGAGAAATACCATTTCATTTGGAAAAAAACTTCTCCAAACCTATTTATGGATTCTAAAATCAACATTAATTTCTTCGAATTTCAACAACTCATAAATTTTTCCCGTTTCATTAGTTCCAAAAATTCGAGCCGGGAAATATTGGACAGTATCTTTACTCTTCTAATTTCTCAAACTTCTAAAAAATTTTCTGTCTGAAATTTCGCTCCCATGACAAAAACCGTGAAACATGTATTCGAAGGGCCCTCCGATACGAGCATGGAAAAATAGAAGTGCTTTTTAAAACACTCTTTCTTGCTCAATTTTGGTGAACGCTAGATTCTCATTAGTTTTGAACGAGAATTCGCCGCATTTTCAATTAAAAAAAATTGGAAAAAATGACCGGAAAAATAGAAGGGCCCTCTCTGGTTGAAGGAACAGAAGTGCTCTCCAGGGGTTTCTTGGAGCAATAGAAGGGCCACCCCGTCTAATACAGGTTTTACGGTATTTCCTAAAATGCTTTTTATTTTTTCGAATTTCAACAATATATAAATTTTTCCGTTTTATCGGTTTTCAATAATTTCAGTCTGAAAATGCTTTATTTTTTCGAATTTCAACAATATATAAATTTTTCCGTTTTATCGGTTTTCAATAATTTCAGTCTGTAAATATTAAAAAGTGTATTCGTTTTTCCGAAATTTCTAAAAATAACTTTTTTCTCTGAAACATCGCTCTATTTCCCACATATCAATTTATTTTCTATTTCCTCTTTAATCGAAAAAAAACCACTCAAAAGTTCGAAAACCTTCCCTCTCACAGTTGTTTACAACTGGAAAAAAGAGGGCTTTCGAGAAGAAAAAAAGATTCAGAGAGAAGAAGAAATTTGTTTTTCAAAAGATGCAATACATCTATATTTTCTGGAGGAACAGAAGAAAAAAAGAGGACTTTTTTCCAGATTTTTTCGTTCTTCCCTTCCTACTTTATCTCATTTGTCAATCTACTTTTGAGGAGAAAACAAGCGGTTTCTTCATTTTCCGTTTTCGGTAAACTGGAGATTCAAAACTGAAAAAAAAACTTCAATGTTTCACCGAAAAGTTAATTTTTAAAAAATTTTTGGAAGTTTGTTGGGCAAATATTTCCATCGATTTAGTTTTTCTTCACAAGGCTCCGCACCAAATCCCACATTCGATGTAAAAATCGTTTTAAAAATGATGTAGTTCAACTGTTTATTGTTGTGATCAAAAAACAAATTTTTCAAATGTGGCAGTTGGCTTTCGGGCCGTTCGTATGACTCGATTGAATTTTAAAAAATTTCAGTTTCATTTTGGCCATAATAAAATAGCCTGTTTTATTATAAAACGCTGAATTTAATTTTTATGAACCCGCATCGTTTCAGTTATTTTAATTCCCAACATAAATATTAGAAAATACATATGTAGCTTTTGAATTACAGTAACGGTCAATAAGATATACAAAGACGCATTGTTCAGTTGATTTTCGGCCATTTTGACCATTTTCAGGAGTCTGGAGATCGGCTTTCAAGTTCCCGATCACTTTGAAAACTTTGGAGGAGGAAAAACAGACCTAGATGGAAAACTTTGCATTCAAAGAATTTTCGGAAAATTCCTAGTTTTTCAGCTATTTGCCGATTTCAGAAAAACACTTGTTCTTTTCCTGTTTCAGTACAAAATGGGGTGTCTTTCAGAATCCGGCAAATAGCTGAAAAAACTAGAAATTTTCTAAAAATTCTGTAAATGCAAAGTTTTCAACCTCGGTCTGTTTTACACGCTCCAAAGCTTTCAAAATGATAGAAAAATCGGCAGCCGAGCTCTAGACTCTTAAAAATGGCAGGATTGACAGAAAATTAACTGAAAAAAGGTTTTTGTATATCTTATTAACCGATGCTGTATGTCCCACAGTATAAGGTCCATATCAGTTATATATCAGTTGACAAACTTTCAGCATCTAACAGAAGTATTCAAATAATTTAGGTCTAAATTCGAAGCACAATAGTGACCCTATTTTATAGATCCATGCATATCCATCATCTTTCCTCTCCCCGGGTACTTCCTGTCATCAACTATTCATATTTCCACACCATTGAGCCCAATCTGCCCATCATACGACCCGTTTAGTGGCTTGGTATAAATGGCCTCACTTTTTATAGGAACTTTTCTATTCGAAAAATGATTGCAAAATGGGGACACATGTGTCCAATACTTTTGAAGAAAAAACTAGCTTAAATATAAATAACTTTGAACATTAATTAAATTTTTTTCGTAATTTTTGAAAGTTCTGAAAGTTAAAGCTAGTTCAGAATCAAAAAGCATATTTGCTTTAAATCATAATTTTTTCCTACAGTTTAAGATTTCCCAACTTTTTACAGTTTCAACTATATTAACTTTGTGCGAATTTCTAATAGATGATAACTTGTAACTAAATGTAAGCTTTTTCAAAGTCTCTATAAAATTTCCAAAGAACTGCATTGTACATGTATTTGTTCACCTTCTCAATTTCGAATCCCTTGTTTATCTTTTCCTCAAATCAATTTACTGTCTACTCTTTCCCCCACATAAAATCTAGACAACCAAAAGTACATAATACCCCATGTTCTTATTTCCTCCCTACTTTTGTCTCTTTTCAATTCAAATCTGTTGTCCAGTGAAATGTAGGGGGTAGTACACAGATGAAAGACAAACAAGCTGGGGGTCTCTCTTTTTCTCTAACCCCGCTCTCCTACTTCTACACACTGTCTTTCTTTTTTGGCATAGACCTTCAGTGTCTATGACCTCTTCATGTAGAGTATCTCTCTCGATCGCTTCCAATTTCTATTTCGTATTTAGTTATCAGTGTCTTCTTTTTTTGTTTGAAAAAAGTTTTGTAAAAAATACATAGATTTTTTGCAAGGTGTTTTTGTCTAATTTTTTGGGAATTTTTTTTTCGCGGTTTTAAAAAATTCAGATTGCTGAGAATCTCTTGAAATTTTTACTACTTGCATCTCAATCAGAATGTTCCTGAAAACCGAATGTTATAGGAAAAAATTGCCATGACTGCACTCTCTAATTTCAGGGAAAAATTATTTTCCAGTTCCAGATACAATTTTCTTTTTGTTTAATAAAAACATTACTTTAATACCATTAGCTGACAGCCTGCATTTATTTTGTAAAAATAATTACTTTCCCAAAAATTTGTGGAAATATTGAAAACACAAAATCTTCAAAGGAGTATCGTTTGTAATTTGAAAAATAATTGAATCCGTTAATTTTATTTTATTTCAAAAACTGTGGGAGGAGAACTTCTAATTCAAATTTTATTTTCAAAAATTCCTGAAATTTTCAACTAGACCAGTAATTTTTTCCTGTTTCAAATTTTCCATAACTTCAAAATTTGAATTTGTCACACTGATACGCGTCGTTTTCATCCAGAATTGATCTTGTGAATTAAAAATCGACTTCCAAATTTTCATAACTTCTCTTCTTCAATTCTTCCCCAAATCCTCTTACTTCCTCTTCACCTTCCAATCTTCTAAACTCATCTCATTCCCCGAATTCCTGCTAAAAAACCTGACCATTACCCATAACCCCATCTTGTTCAATGTCAACTCTGATTTTCATCTTCTTCTCTGACTCTCTATGTCTCTTCTCAATAATACTTACTCAGTTTTTTCTTCATCAAAGGTTGTACGTTCAGTAATTTGATACGCATCCTTTTCTCTCCAAAAAACTTTCTCCGCACTTTTTTCTCTATTCTTTTTTGACTTTCTTGTCATGAGTCATATTTTTCGGACATATGTCTTGTGTTAGAAAAAAAATCATGTAATTCTGTTTTCGGATTTCGAAAAGTTTATTTTCCGTTCATCCAATTTCTCAAAACAATATATATTACGGATGTGAAACGAGAACTGTTATAAAGCTTATTAGTTTTATCATGTGGAAGATTTTTAAATATATATTTCACATTTTGCTGAAAACATTCAAATCCAGGTTATCCTGCACTATAGCTAACACACCGGGAGCTCGAATTTGGCTCTTTCGGGTTTTTTTCTGAACCGATCATCAAAAACTATGTTGAATGCGTTTTTGAGACTTCGAAACTTTTACATTATTTGTGAAACCTGAAAAATTGAACTTTTTTACAGTTATTTAGTTTTGGTCAAATTTGAATTTATTCCAAAATATAAAACATTAGAGGTGACCGAAAAAATGTTCGGTTCCAAAAATGCAAATATTCTCATTGAAAATTTAATTCAATCATTCAAATTTTGTAGTCCAATTTGTTCTGTTATTCTTTGAGTATCAGTAGAAAACCCATATTTATCAGAGACACTTGTCTAATACTGTACTTCAATAATCACTGCATTCTTTGTGAAATTTGACCGCTCAAACTGAATTAATCAAATTTTGTCATTTCCTTGTTTGACCAGCACAAAGAACAAAGCCCGAGCCGCATTCATCAATGTTATCAAATCATAAGAAGTCACGCGTATGAGAGACATTGAATAGTGAGCAAGAGACAATAGGAAAATGTACACAGTTGTAGAGGTATAGAAATGTAATTTATTAATTTTTGGTATATATTGTAATTTGTTGTAATTATTGTAATTAATGAGTTGAAGTTAAACTAACGTATTTCCTTTAAAGGTGGGGAGACAGGAAATTTTACGGGGGATTTTTGGGGCCAGAGTATGCATTCTACCGTCACGGTGTACAACGCTTAATGTCACTCTGCGTACAGCTGTCGCCCTCGCCTTTATGTATGCAATCGGGCAGCGGCTTTCTCTTTGCACGCGTAGCTCAGTCGGTAGCGGCGCCGCACCTTCAATACTTGTCTCGACAAGTTCAACACCTTGAGGAGCATATTTAAACGGGATTTCGACAACATTATTTTTCTCATGTCCCCCCACCTTTAAAAGAATCCCACTCAAACCGTCAACTTTAAGCCTAATTATCTCAATTCCTGTCGAAGATTTGAAGACGTAGTTCATTAACAAAATATTTCTGGAATTGTGACGGATACTTTGTTAGTTGACCACTTTTTGATATCTTTTACAGGAAATAAGATAAATTGGCTCAAAGTTTGGGTGGGCTCCTTTTAGTTGAAGTACAGTATATTGTCTATAGAAAGCTGCCGTTATTACTTCGATTTATAATTTTTCTGTCTGGTTTTGCAAAACGGATACAGACAAGTTATTCATTGTGGTGAGACCCATCGAACATTTTAGTGTGTTAGCGTTAGTGCCAGTTGACTTTTTTCCAAATTCACAGTTTCACTGAAATCGTAGAAAACTTGGAGTACAATAACTTCTGTTATCATGAGCGTCTGTAGTCCCTTTCAATTGATTTAATTGTTTCTGAGCTATCATGTTCTCTTTCTATAACTTCTACGGATTATCTGTGTTTTCCAACTATATTTCTCCTTTTTCCGGATTTCCAGAAACCCCACCCATCATCCAAAATATTCTGGAAACAATTTGCCAGTGAATGTCCTCAAAATGTGTGAACCTTCTCATATGCTTATCCACAATATTATATACTCACCACGTGGCAAACGCGCAAAATGGAATCAATGACGACGTCACTACAGTATCCGCGATTCTGGACTCGGCTACGACGGCGGCGCAGGCTGTGGATAATTCTACTATAGCGGTAATTTTTGATTTCTTTTCTAGCGAATACTGAAAAAAATTTCAGCCCACCAACAACAACAACACAAATTTGGGACTGAAGACTCCAACAATTTTCGGGATGCGTGTTGAATTGCCAGCTGATGATCCGTTTGGTTACGAGTGAGTTTTCAGAAACAATAGAAACTTCTGGACACTATGGATAAAAATAATTTAGAAATTTCAAGAGTCGGTAAAACACAAAAAATGTTGTGTCTCATTCCGTGTAAGTACCGTATTCCCTCTAATAGAAGTCAGCCCAAACCGTCAACTTTGAGCTCAATGATCTCCATTCTCGTGAAAAATACCAAACATTTTCAACTGAAAAGTTACTTATCATAATGTCACCAAGATTTTATAAGTCGACAAATTCTTGACATCTCTCATAGGAATCAAGATGATTGAGCTCAAAGTTGGCGGTTTGAACGGGTTACTTTTAGAGGAAATGGTATTAGTAATTAACTCAAACTTGCCCACAACTTATTTACGGCTTATGCAAAAGTTAAGAAAATAAAATAAATGCAATGAAACAGTAAAAATTACAAATCCAAACGCTCTTTTTCAGCAAGCATGGTGTCTGTTCTGTAACCCCCGAGGAAGAATTCAAAGTTGTGATCTATGGAAATCATTTGGATAAAATCCACCAAATCATCTGGACCTTTACCAATAACTGCTCGGAACCAGCCTACGTAATAGATGCTTTGAACCACTTCAAAATCCATTTCAACCACAAAGCCACATTCCATCTGACACTGAAACTACTTCCCGAGATGGTTCATGCTTATAAAATGTGTGTGAAACCAAAACTACCACCAGGATCACCACCATTGGGAGAGATTTATCCGGTTAGTTCAAATTTATTGGCTGGAAAATTAAAATTGAAAAAAAAAATTTCTGAAAAACAAAATCCTAACTTAAATTTATTAGCAAATAAGGGTTTTCAATTAAAGTTAGCCTTATTAGTAACTTTAATTGATAATATCCTACATTTTCACTGAAAACAGATCAAAGAAGAGTTGTCGTATTGGATCTGTCTTTGACGGTTTCTTTTTTTTTTGACAAAGTGAAACAGAAGGTTTCGCTGTTTCAGTTGGTCGACTTCACACATTTTTTAAGAGTCAAACATTAACACTTATTTTGAAAAAAAAGCTAAAAATTTCAATAATCCAGAGATCCAAAAGTTTTCAAAAAATAGATATTCGAAAAAATAGTCTTGTTTGGGCTTATTATGAAGCAAAAAACATAAAATTGTAGAATTTTCAATTTTTCTTTATAAATATTTTGAAAATCCACTTATCCGTCTATTTTCTATATTTAACAGCGCCCCAGTACAAAATCGGGCCGAATATGGGCGTTTTTCTGAGATTGGCAAATAGCTGAAAAACCAGGGTTTAAAAAAATGCTGTAAATGCAAATTTCACAATTTAGGTCTGTTTTACATACCGAAGCGATAAAAACTTGAGCTCCAGACTCCAGTAAATGGTCAAAATGACCAAAATCAACTGAAAAATACTTTTTTTGTATATCTTGTTGACAGGTACTGTAAATAAAACACCTGAGAAACAAAAACCTGGCTTCAATTTAGTAATGATTGCGTTATTCAGATATCCAGGGAATTATCAGTAATTTTAATTGATGTTCCCCCAAATTTTAATTGAAAATAGATCAACGCAGAGTTGTCTTATTAGTTCGGTGTTTGACGTTTTGTTTTTTAAAACAAACTGAAACAGAAGATTTCGCTGTTTCAGATGGTTGTTTTCACAAGTTTTTTGAAAAAACTCACATTATGGCTACCATTTCAAAATTGTATTTAATAAATTTGAAAACGGAAGAATGACATAAAATCCATTTGCTTAAATTTCGAAACGTTATTTTTAGATCGACGACATCTCCACATGGCTAACCACCGAACGTCCACCCAAAGAATACTTCCTTCCACTACCTCTTCAAATCACTTGCATCGGATTCCTCCTATGCCTCTCTGCCCTTTTCTCCGGCCTGACTCTCGGATTAATGTCTCTAACCCCTCAAGAATTGGAACTTGTTATCAAATCTGGAGCAGTGAAGGAACAAAAATGTGCAGCAAAGATTTTACCAATCCGAAAGAAGGGAAATCTTCTTTTATGCTCTCTTCTACTGGGAAATGTTATTGTGAACTCTGCAATTTCAATTTTGATGGGAGAATTGACAACTGGAATTTATGCTTTGATTGGGTCAACGCTCGGAATTGTGATTTTTGGAGAGATTCTGCCGCAGAGTATTTGTGTGAAGTGAGTTTTCCTTTTCATGTAAGGATTAAAAAAATATGGTCCCTTTTCCATTACGAACTGTAATCCAAATGAATTCTGTAAATTCAAAAACTATTTGAAACATGTTTTTTTCAAAAATTTCAGAAAGGGACTGGAAGTCGGAGCACACACCATTCAAATCACGCAACTTTTCATTTTGCTGACATTTGTCATTGCTTGGCCAGTATCCAAACTTTTGGATTGCCTGCTGGGAGATGAATATGTGAGTCTGTAAAAACACAGGAAGTAGTAAAATCAGAGTGTGAAATTGATGATGTGGAGATCTTGAAACAGCGAAAGTTAGAATAGTGAATTCTGCAAATTTTACCAGTTTTCGATGATTTTTTAAAATTTTGTCAAGTTTAAGCTATTCTTCTATTTGTGAGATTGTGTTAATTTGATTCAAGCTCTGAAAATAGCGTTCATGAAACGGTAGTGAATATTTTGTACAACGCATACCGTAAAACCTGTATTAGAAGAGCCTGCCCAAGGTACCTCCAGAAGGCTTTCAATAACAGGGGCCCTTCAATTAGAGGGAGCCTTTTTTCCAGCCATATTTTACGAAAAATTTCCTTTTAAAATTGGAGAAATTGCGTTCAAAATTAATGAAAATCTATCAATTTCAACAAAATTGAGCAAGTTTTTGAGAAAAAAGGAGTTTTTAATCTATTTTCTGTGAAATTGTGAAATTTCCAAAATGTTTTTTTTCACTGAAAATGTACGGAAAGTTCTAATTCCAAACAATAATTTCGAAGGGAGCCCTTCTATTACAGGGCCCCTTGTATTTTTCCAAGACCTTCTATTCGAGGGGCCCTTGTAATACAGGTTTAGGGTACATTAAATTTTGATCAAGCGCATTCTCCTGAAAATAATTTTCACCGTTTCTCGATTATCAGCGTTTCATAACAATTACACGTTTCATGACAATTACAGCTATAATTAATTCATGAACCAATTTTACATTTACTGTTTCAGCAAGCCTACGATCGCAAACGTCTCATGGAACTGATCAAAATGTCGATAACTGACAACGGTCAAGTCTCCAACGAACTCAAAATTGCTGTTGGTGCAATGGAAATCGCCGATAAAGTTGTAAGAGATGTTATGACGAAGATAGAAGACGTTTTCATGCTTCCGGATACCACGATTCTGAACGCCAAGACAGTAATGGAAATTGTGAAAATGGGATATACCCGAATTCCAGTCTACCAATACGGAGATAAGAATAATGTGACCGATATGTTGTTCGTGAAAGACTTGGCTCTCCTGGATCCAGATGACAATTTCACAGTGAAAACTGTTTGTGGTTATCATAAACATCCAGTGAAGTTTGTGATGAATGACACTCCACTTCCACATTTGTTGGAGGCTTTTAAGAAAGGAGAGGGACATTTAGCGATGGTTAAGAGGCTGATTAACACTGATGATAGACATGATCCGAGTTATGAATTGGTCGGAGTGGTTACGTTGGAGGATATTGTCGAGGAGATTTTGCAGGTGAGGTTGTATATGAATAATGTGACCTAACATCATAAATCCTTAAAACCGAAGGTAAAAAACTCCGGGAAACCTCGGAGAAGGAACCAATCTAGCTGAAGTTTTAGGGAAAACTGGAGGCAACAATTGCAATCCTAAATTTTGGAATTTTTTAAATTTACTTAATTTAACCAGCCTGTTTGCCGCTCCTCCGGCGCTTCAAACAGCTGGCTGGTGCGTCTTCGGCGCAATTTGATCTATTTTTTGCTTTATCGTCGCTTCGCTCCTCTTTCTTTTTACAAGGTCGCGTCAATTATATTTAATTTTCAAAAATGTGCGGAAAAATCCACAGAGAAAGAGACGCAACTTCATTTATTTATTATAAGAATGATTTATTTATTTCAACGAAGGGGAGAAAACCACTAACACGTGAAATGTCTATGAAACTAGGAGATATAACAGGGACATACATTTGTAGTAATTGGGAGATGAAGGAAAAACCGAGTTAGTAATTAGTTGAATTCAAGACAAGAAAATGTTTTAGATCATAGGATAATAGTCGATTTTTGAAAGCCGCTGACGAGGGCTTCACCGGAAACACTTTGGCGGGTAAAGAGTTCCAACATCTGATTGCTCTATTAGAGAGAAAGGAATGAAATGTTCATCTTGTGATTCGGCTGGAATTTCAGACAAGCTTTCAAATTGGATATTTGCACCCCCAAATTTTGGCAATATGTTCCTTATAGTTTTCTCCAGTTTTTCCCAAAGCTGCAGTCAGATTGGTTCAGCTTCCAATTTTTAATGTTTCAGCTACTTTCCATTAAAAATAGCCCCTCTTTGTACTGGTCCATATGTAATATGTTTCCAGGCCGAGATCAACGACGAATTTGACATTGTTACTGATAACGTGAACAAGGTAAAAATCAAGAAGGATCAAAATCGAGATGCCACAAAATACTTTGGAGACCACGAAGCCCCACAAACCATGATTTCTATGCAGGTGAGAAAACATTTTTTAAAGAAAAAATTGGAAATAAAAATCACAGTTTCAACTAGAAAACTTTTAACTACAAAGTTTACTTATTTACTTAGGACGTATTTCTTTATACATTTGTATGTAGAATATCTTTTCAGACAAAAAAACATAATAAATTCCAGCTCCAAATGGTTGCTCTCCAATGGTTGGTCTCCAACGAACGCGCTTTCCGTCAAGAGTTCCTTGACACAAATGTTCTGGAACGCTCATTCGAAGTAGTGCAAGGCGAGTGGACGTCTCAGCGTTGATGGCCATGGGTGACGATGCGATCAATGTTCCAAGACTGGCAAAAGTGTACACCAAAGATGAACCAAGCGACAAATACATTCTAATCCTAGAAGGACGTATTAATGTAACCATTGGATCCAGTGGCATGATTTTTGAAGCTGGACCTTGGCATCATTTTGGAGGAGAGATTATGGCAAAAATGGTCGAAGGAGCTGCCACATTGGGAAGGAGTATGAGCATTGTGGGAACTTCGGATTTGTCGGCCAGGCGGCCAGATTTGATGTTCAGACCAGACTACTCGGCTGTTGTCAAGGATGATTGTACTTATTTGGAAATCTCAGTGTCTGCGTTTATCAATGCGTACAAGGCGTCGTTGATGCAAAGGGAAAGGCCAATGTGAGTTTTTTTTTATTTTAAAGGGGGAATCCGACCAAAAATTTTTATTGCATTAAAATGTGTTAAAAGTTATCTATTCTCCGAATATTATTGCGAAAAAATTCAAAAAAAAATCCGAAATTCCCGAAAAACGGCGTTGAAAAGGAAGAAAATCCAAAAAAAGGTGCCGCCGGGGGACGAGGATTTTCAGTGAGAAACCTAGGCCACGGCAGCAGGCGCCTTTCCTACGTGGCAAATTTTCCGGAAAAATAGATGTATTACCACTAGGTTTGGTTATATTACTAATAACTCGAATACTTCTAAATAATAGGCCCTCATTTATTCCAGAAACGACATGTCTGACTACTCCCACAACTCCTCCGCTCACAATTCGAACTTGTCGTTGGCCGAAAACCGGGACCAATAACGGATCCATCAGCTATGCTGGTCCCAGAAAATGTCAGAAAACCATCAATTGTTTCAGTGGAAGCAACGCCAAGGGTGCTCAACATGATAGGACAACATCCGGTGGCACCGGTTGCCGAGGAGGTAATTTTTTGTCAAAAACTTTAGGTTTCAATACAATAGTGGATATTAATTAGATTTTAAAAAGACAAAAATAATTTCAAAACTTCATGAAACATTAAACAATTTTTTGGAAAAAATCAAGTTTCAGGAAGAAATGTCACTTCTGGATAAGAACTCAGCAAGATGATCCAGACCAAAATGCATATAGGAAATATTTAATTCTCAAAATGCCAATAATTTTCCAAAATACGGTATATATATCCCCTGCTCAAAATCTTCTCACTTCTTGTATAGTTTTTTTTCTTTTTTCTCCCAGACAGACTTCAGATCTCTTGTTCCACTCTAAAAGTCGGTTTTCCATCTTTTTCTACTTATAAATATGTTCCCGTGCCTTTTTTCAAATTTTTTGCATTTTCCAGGTCCCCCTCTATTGATTATTATGTATTGTTATTTTTTGGGTTTTATTAATAAATGATTTTTGATTTTTTAAATTCAAATTACTGGAAAACCTGTATTAGAAGGGCCCTCCGGGAGAGGCTCGAAAAAATAGAAGGGCCCTCTCGGATCTTCTAATACAGGTATTTTTTCGACAACTAGATTAATTGCAATTGTAACATTTGAATTTTCTTCATCAAGAAATCTGAATACAGATGATCAAAATGGGCGGAGCTAAAAATTCTGTTTCAACTGATCGTAATAATTATCACAAGCAATTTTAAATTTTCTCAAAGAATTTTCCAAAAATTTGTTCCGAGGAAAAGTTATACATAATCCATTTTCAATTTCCAGAAAAATTACAATTCCTGATTTTTTTTTCAATTTCGAGAGTTTTTCAATTTCATGCTTTGATTCTGGATACTAATTGCTTTTTTTTTTGACATAACTGACTGGGCGAAAAAATCAAAATTGAAAAAAAAAAAACTTTTGGACAAAAGCAAAAATAAAACTGGCTGGTTGAGCATATTTTTCTATTTTTTTTCTTCAAATGGAGAATTTACTAATGTTCCAAATCCTTTCACAGGAAAAAATCCCTTTAGTTGTCCATTTATCTCTAAAAATCCCAATAGTGTCTGAAATTATTTTTCAGTGAGGAAGAAGACTTGTAACTTTATACTTTCGATGGCGTATGTCTATTTGTATGTGTAGGTCAGTTGGCACCTAGCACATTACTACTACAAAACTTGGGAGTTTTCTGAATTGTTGAGTTGGATAAAAACGTTTTGTGTTTCGAAATTTGAATAATGACTTTCTGGCTGCATGGGATTCTAAAATTTCTTCAAAATATTTTATCAATTTTTAAACCTTTTATCTGGTAGTACTCGTATCGAATCGAGAAAAATAATACTTTACTTCATAAAACGTGTATCTGAAACCGAATAATTTTACTAGCTTATTCCCCTGATTCAATTTCTGCAATTCCCCAAAAATCGCCCTTCAAATTCACAGAAAATTCCTCCGGATGTGTTTATAAAAACTACCGATTTCCCCTGAAAACCTAGAAAAAAAATAAGAAGCTCCGGCGCATCCGATTCCAATTTCCCGTCACATTTCCGAAGGAGACGGGTAGCTCCAAGTAGGAAAAAAATTGGTCAATAAATCAGTTGGTTTCGGGTGAAATGGCGGAGAAGAAAAAGTGAATGGATGGGTGACCCTAAGGTTTTGATTGTTTTTTTTTCCAGAAAACTCTCGGTGCAAGGGGAAAACTTTTAAAAAAATCTCATTATTTTGAGAAGGAAATTAACTAAAATTTTTTCGGTTTCACTGTTCCTTGATTTTCGGAAAGTTTCTAATTGGGTTGCACTGAATCCCTATTTTCATCAACTCTTCCAAATTTCAGAATTATTGAAAGGTTTATAGGTTACCGTAAAAACTTTTATAGAAGCCCACCCAACCGTCAAATTTGAGCTCAATTATCTCGATTGATGTGAAAGATATGAAAAAATTGTACACGGATAAATTGTTTTTCAAAATATCAGTAAAATTTATCAGTTGATACATTTTTGATATCTTTTATAAGAGCCGAGACAATTGAACTTAAACTTTACAGTGTGAGATCCCTTCTAATGCAGGTTTTACAGTATCTCTAATTGTTTCGTTCGGACACAACAATACTATTTACATCAAGATCTTGTAGAAGACTAATCAAACGAATTACACACTTTTAATGAGTTGTTGACACCGAATTGGTCTAGTTTGCCATTTTCGCAAATTTTTACTGCTTCCCATAATCCACAATTTCCAGTTTTTTCTCATTTTTGTCATTAAGTTGTTGTCCATGACAATGTCTTGTACTATGCCAATAAACTAAAGAATTTTTTTCAGTTTCAGTAATGAGTTGATACTGTAGTTCTTGGGTGGCGTTCTATTTTAGTATTTACGGTTTTCAAATTTTTATGCTAATAAATTGAATTTCCATATTTTGAGAATGAAATTTTGAAAAATTAGTTGAATTTCTGGCAGTTTTGAGAAGGAATTTGGCAGTAATGCAGTAGTTCTAAAAATTGCGAATATCACCATAAGATTTTCGAAAAAAAATCTAGGTTAGTTTTATCTGAAACAATGGTGCTATTTATCCCATCTTTTCGGAAGATTGATCAAAAGTATCACTCACTTTTGAAAACAATAACATTTTGAAACCGTATTTTATATGTTCATCATTTTTGCAATTTTCACTGCTTCCCATAATTTATAATTTCCTGTTTTTCTGACTTTTGTAATGCAGCGTTTCAATGCTCTGTACTCTCCACCACCCTTCCCTCTTCCAACAACTCAATGTTCATAACCTAGACTTGAGTCTCCGTTTCAAAATTGCCGGAAACTGTGCTTTGTGTGCTCCGATGCTCCGATGCGCTGCCCCGAAGTAGTACCAACATCATCATTATCTGAGACACGTCATTCCGTTTGTATGTGTCCTTTTAAGAACGTCCAATAATCCATCAATCGGATGATGGTTTTCAAGTTCGGGACCCTTTTACGGGACAATCGGAAGAAATTTTCGAGCGGAGGAAGATGGAAAATGGGCGGAGTTTTAGCGGAGAAAGAGTCCCGAGTTAAATTTGGTTCATTGTTTTCTTGCTGTTTTAGTTCTGGACCATAGGAAAAATTTAGAAACCTTTGAAACCCGTTTCAAATATTTGACATCCGTTTTCTTAAATTTTTCTGATTAGTTCTATCCTACGTTTCCTCTCCTGAATTTCAAGCACAATTACAATTTGAGCTGATAAGTGGATCCTTTTTTAAAATAACCTTCCATTGTTCCAATATTCCTACTAAATTAACTGAAAAAAGAACTTTTAGCTCAGTCGGGAACCTTATTATTATCGACAGACTTGTAGATTCATAGAGATTAAGTGAGAAAAAATCTTTCACAGCACGATTCAAACTTTTTTAGTTTTTCAAAATTTTCCAGTTTCAGCGAATTAGTATAAGTTTTGAAAAACCTAGTTGACGCGATAAAACTAAATGTGACTACAATCTCAAATTTGATTTTCAGCTTCTCCAATTTATGATAATTAAGAAAACTTTTTCCACTTCTCAAAACCTCTCAATTCAAAATCATTTCCTTCTTTTTCATGATCAATTCTAGGCGGAGTCAGCTCTTTTATTTTCGTTCTCCCAAAAGATCGCACGTTTTCGACGAGGCGTGATCATTCAGGTACCGTAACCAATTTCTCTAAACTTCTCCACGCCTCTACACTCTCACCGGATGAGCCCTAATCAATTAGGAAATGTCTCAGCAAAATGATGTGAGAGAATTTTTCGGAGAATTTTTTGAATCGCCAATCGGAAGCCAACATCGGAAATGCATTAGGAGTTGATATAAAAGACGATGAGTCGAGGAATTCATCCATATCGTTTTCATTTTTCATTTTTTCTGATTCCTTATGACTTCGACTTCCAGCACCTCCTAAATCCACTATCCAAAGTTTCAGATGCTCTTCAAACTCGTGTTCATCGCATTGTTGTTCGCCAGCTCCTATGGAGCATCCATGGAGGAAATCCAATCGGAGAAGTTCTGTGAGAAATTCCCAACTCTTCACATGTGTCGTCTCAAGGAAGAGTTGACTGGAAGCTTGGTCGAGTTGCAGTACTTGTTGCAAGATGGTAAGCAAATTAGGAAGGGGTGATTAGAGAGCGATTACGTTAAAACCTGTAATAGAAGGGCTCCTACACTGTCAAGTTTCAGCTAATTTTTCTTGAACCTTATGCAAGATATCAGAAAGTGGTCAACTGATAAAATGTTTGTGATATTATGACGAACAATTTTTCATTTAGCAACTTTTTTTATGTCTTTGACAAGAACCGAGCTATAATTGGCTCGAAGCTAAAAGTTACGATGTCCCTCTATTAGAGGTTTTACGGTAAGTTGGGTCCAAAACTTAAAGGAGGCGAGACAGCAAAAATTTCGGGGGCAGTTCGGGGGACGAAATCGCGCCGCGCTTATGTAGACCATCGGTCGTCAGGCGCCTTCGCGCCCCCGTAGCTCAGCCGGTAGCAGCGCTGTACCACTGAGCTGCCTGTCATGAGTTCAACCCCTCATGGGGGTTCTCTATGCAAAATATCAGGAAAACTTTTTTTTGGTGTCTGGCCTCCTTTAACTATAACTTAGTTTAGCATAACTATAACTTCATCAACTAAAGACACATAGCAAGTGAACGGTTTTCTGATAGTCCTGAAACAGCAAGAAATACTGTATGTTGCTGATTGTCAACGATAAATCCACATTCTGAACTTTCTAATTTTTCACTTCTACCAAATCTTGCTATATAGAACCTAGGCTTAAATTTAGTATGACTACAATAATATATTCAGGAATCAACGTCGGAGGTCAACAACAAGCCGGAGGAGTTCAGGAGGTCCAGAAGAGAAAGAGCGCCTTTGTTCGCTTTGGAAAGAGATCCGCCTCAGATGAGGAGGGAATGGTAAGCGCTAAAAAAATTTTAAAAAAGCAATTAGAAAACAACATTTTTCGTTTAAAGGAGTGTATATTTCAATACCATTAGCGAGTTGACAACCTACTTCTAAAAATATAAATAGTTTGAAACTGCAATAATAATTTTTCAGGAAATGGAAAAACGCAAGTCGGCATTCGTCCGTTTTGGGCGATCTATCGGAATGGAACCTCAATTCACCGAAAAGAGAAAGAGCCAATACATCAGATTCGGAAAATAATTACCCCTCTTCTAATTAACTCCTTCCTCTCTTAATTTTTTCCCCCGATTTCTCCCCTTTTCGAACATCAAATTAATGAGCAAAATTCTACACTCTTGGGTACCATCCTCAAGTTTTTTGAGACTTCTGAACTGTTAATACTTCTTCCCTCTTCTTTTTCTGAAAATTTCAGAATGAATCTCAAAAAAAAATTACACTCTCTATTTCTGCACCAGTAGTTTTTTTCTAAATAATCAAAAATATTACAACTTCGTGGGCGCTTCTTCTTCCATTCTTTCTTGCGACTTTTTTCCCTTCCTGAAAAACCGTTTGTTCAATTGTCTGATTGGTGTGTGCGGCAGAATAAAGAAAATCATGTGTTAATAATTTGGGAAAAATTGATAAATGGCTGTTTATGGATTATTGTAAATAGATTCACTTGACTTTTTTAGGTTGACAATATAGACAAAGTTAGAAAAAGATTTTTTCAGAATACTGTTTCAAATTTTTTGATGAAGTCGGAAAGTTTTTATTTTTCTAAGTTAGGTTCACTAAGTAATGTCATTTTTAAACTATCGCAGCTTACAACTTTGTTTACCGCGCTTCAAACAGCTGGCTGGTGGGCCTTCGGCGCGATGCGCGATTTTTTGGGCTCATTAAATGATCTCATAACCAGGAAAAGTAGTTATGAGACCAGATAACAAGCCAATTTCAAAAACATTTTGCATTTTTATTATGGAAAACTTGAAACCGAATTTTTTAAGTATTGAAGTAAGTTACTGCCACTACGCGGTTTGCATTGCCATTCAAATTTTTTCAATATTTTCTATTCCTTATTACCCGTTTTCCATTGTTATTCAAATGTTGGTAATGCATAAAGGGACATTCTGAAACTGAAAATATTTGTTTGAAAAAGTTTCAAATTTCAAAATTTGCACAAAAACTTTGCTGAAATTTATTTCGATTGCGGTTTTTGAGCTCAAGAGGAAGCTGATAGTTTTTATAGTATGCTATTTTCTAGTGAACTAATTTTAGAAAATCATTTCGGGCTTTAGAAAAATGGAAACAACATTTTCTGTAACTTTGAAACTTTCAGACTTTTTTCTGGAAGTTCTTAATTATCCGTCAATTTGGAACTCATAGTCTATTCAAAACACAAATTTGGAAAATTTTTTTAACAATATGAGATTTTTTGGGCTCATTAAATGATCTCATAACCGGAAAAAACATTGGTATGAGGCTAGATGATAATTTTTAAACTAGTGTTTTTATATGGGCAATTTGGAACCTATTTTTTTTGAAACAAATTAAAATATGCTTCAGTTGCAAATTGCTATCCAAATGCTGGTAACGCAGAAGGGAAAACTCTGAAACGGAAACCTTTTTTTTTGAAAAAGTTTCAATTTTCAAAAATTACACAAGAAACTAATTTTCTTTGCAACGAATTTTTGGATAATTTTTTTGTTTTACATTGTTGCGCGCCTAAGACATTTGACACTGAAAGTTGAAATTATTTAGTGAGAGTAATTTAGAAAAATTTTCAGCCTTCAACATAAGTTCGACAAGTTTTTGAGCAAAATGTAATATTTTGGGCTCATTAAATGATCTCATAACCAGAAAAAAACAATGGTATGAGACCAGACAATAAGCCAAATTTCAAAAATTTCGGAGATTTTTTATGGAAAACTTGAAACAGAATTGTTTGAGATGGCTTAAAGAATCGAATTGAGAGAATAATTTCGGAATTTAACAAAAAATTTAAACAACAGTTTTGAATTTCAAAGTTTTTAATAACTCTCAATCATTATGGACTTCCTATTAAAAACGCAAACACTTATTACAAATTTTTGAACGAAGTGTGATTTTTGGGCTCATTCAATGACTCACAACCATAAAAAGTAGTTACGAGACCAAACAACAAGCCAAATTTTAATAAGTTACTATAGCCAAATTTTAATAAGTTACTATTTTTTTATAAGTTACTATTCCTGTTCAAATGCTGGTAACATACAAGGAAACTACTTAAAACTAAAAACTTTTATTTAAAAAATTCGAAATTCAAAATTAAAGAAAACAAATTTTCAGATTTTTATTGGCCATGAGACATTTGATACCAAAATTTGTCGAATGAATATTGTCTAACAAATCGAGTTTAGATAATAGTTTTCAGGTTTTGACAGAAAATTGAAACATAATTTTTTTGAATGTCGAAATTTACAGATTTTTCTCTGAAAGTTCTGAATCATCCGCCAATTTCGAACTCAATATTATTCCAAACACAACAATAACAAGTTTCTGAGCAAAAATGTAATTTTTTGGGTTCATTAAATGATTTCATAACCAGAAAAAATAAGCCAAATTTTGGAAAATGTGGAATTTTTATATGAAAAACTTGAACTTTAAAAAAGTTAAACAAGATGCTTTTTTGATCTAACTGATATTCAAATATTCTTAACTCAAAAGAGAACACTCTGAAACTGAACACTTTGATTTGAAAAAGTTGAAACTTGTCCAAAAATTACACAAAATAGTTATTTTTTTTAAGATTTGTGATTTTGGACTCATGAGACATTTGTAACTTAAACTTATTTCTAAAGACTGGATAGTAAGAAACTGATTTTGTGAAATGATTTCGACTTTCAAAAAAAAAATTGAAACAGAATTTTTCGAATTTCAATGTTTTCTGAAAATTCTCAATCAATATTTAATTATCTTCCTTATATATAAAACGCTAGACGTGTCTGTTGGTCCTAGTGTCCGGCTGTCCGGTTTTGGCTTTCAAATAAGAATTAGGCCGCCGCCAAAACTCACAGGTCCTGGGCGATGATGCGCATAAAGGACTCGATCCATATGCGATCCTCTAGAAGTCCGTTTGACACATATCGCGAACAACGAGCTGCGATGAGTCTCATATGTGTGCGATGCGGGAGAGGCTGAATCGAGTGTTCCGAATGCGCGCGTATCCTAGATGAATTCTGGGTGGGTGGGCGATGTGTGCGATATGGGTCTGATACGGTAGGCCGACTACAACACTCCGAAATCCCGGATGCGCGCACCGTAAATCCACACCGGCAACTTTGTCAATTTTTCGTCAATTCGAGCCTACATTTCTGGTTTTTCGATTATTCCTTCGATGTTTTTTGTGAAAAAGAGTTATGGCAGAATAAAAAATCGCTGAGTTCTTGCAGAAACATGTCTTTCACTCGTTAATTGCTATGTTTTTCGCCAAAATAGATGATATTGAGATTTTTTGATTTCACTTTGTAATTATTGTAAAAATCGTATTTTCAGGTGGAGTAAAAGGAAAGTTGGTAAGTATACAATAATTACAAAGTGTAAATTATAAAATTTTTCAATTTTTCATGCAATTTCAAAAAAAGTGAAAGTGAGGCATTTTTTGAGCAAATGAAAAAAAAAACAATTTTTAGCGAATTTTTTCCCATTTTCTTCTGTTTTTGATGCATATCAAATTTAAATGGAAACTGCCATACAGTACTGGCCATAAAGAATGCGACAACTTGTTTTTTGACGATAACTTTTTGAAAACTCAACTTTTCAACTCGAATTTTTTACTGTAGACACATTGGAAAGTTACGAAAACTTGCGTACTTGGAAATTGCATCATCTTGCAAACAAAATTTTTTTTCAATTGTTTTCATTTTTTTTTCATTTTGCATATTTTTCATGATTTTTGGTTTTTTTAAATAAAGTTGAAAGACAACTAATTGGAATTAGTTTTAGTTATTGTTTTATTGTTTTTCAGATATGGTTAGACCATTCGGGAAAAAATCCTTCTCTGTGGACGAGCGAAAAAGCATTGTGCGTGGTCATGAACTCGGCGCGCATCCGAAGATACTTGCAACTCAGTTTAGTTGTTCTTCCAGCCAAATTTACCGTATTCTGAAGAAAAATCGAGATGATGTGAGGTTTCAATCAGCTTTCTCAACTAAATTTAACAATTTAGAATGGCGTTGTTCATCGCCAATCTCCAGGAAGACCCCGAACCACTTCCAGAAATATGGATCGGAACATTTTGCGCGCATGCCGAGAAGATCCTAGACGCACATCTACGGATATTCAACTTTCTGTGACGTCTCCAAATGAACCGGTACCATCGAGAAGAACTATTAGAAGACGTTTGCAAGTTGCTGGACTGCACGGACGAAGACCAGTCAAAAAACCACTCGTCAGTTTGAAAAACCGAAAAGCTCGCGTTGAATGGGCTAAACAGCACTTGTCCTGGGGCCCCCGTGAGTGGGCAAATCACATCTGGAGCGATGAATCGAAGTTCAATATGTTCGGAACTGATGGTATTCAGTGGATTCGACGTCCCATTGGCTCCAGGTATGCTCCACAGTACCAATGTCCAACTGTGAAACATGGAGGTGGATCTGTGATGGTTTGGGGATGCTTCTCCGACACTTCTATGGGACCATTGAAGAGAATCGTTGGAACCATGGATCGATATGTGTACGAAGACATCCTGGAGAACACAATGAGACCATGGGCAAGAGCAAATTTGGGCCGATCGTGGGTGTTCCAACAGGACAATGACCCGAAGCATACTTCGGGTCATGTCGCCAATTGGTTCAGACGTCGCCGTGTGAACCTCCTAGAATGGCCAAGTCAATCTCCAGACTTGAATCCCATCGAGCATATGTGGGAGGAGCTGGAACGCCGCCTCAAAGGAGTCAGAGCATCCAATGCCAATCAAAAGTTTGCTCAACTCGAAGCTGCTTGGAAGAGTATCCCGATGACGGTGGTTCAGACGCTCCTGGAGTCGATGCCACGTAGATGCAAGGCTCTTATCGATGCGAAAGGATACCCAACGAAATATTAAATCACTTTTTATTGTTACCTTTATTTTGTTTTTGACCTCCGGTGTTTCTTGAGCTTCTTTGTATAGATCTCCAAAAATGTCATTTTCATGAATTTTCGAAAAAAATTAATTTTCAAAAAAATTGTAGCAGAATATTAAAACCAACTTAGCCTAAAAGTTTTTGATAGTGCTGAAAAAATCT